TTCCACCCTCCCGAGTTACCTAGGGTGAGGCTTAATGACGTCAACATTGGTACCATGTTTATACTTTAACTATGCGAGGTGAATATATATTTATGCAACATCAGCCCTTTTCTTGCCAGCTTCTGTGAGTAGGGCCTGCCTCTGTCTCACAGCTTAACTTTGCTTTATGTTAGCAAAGTCTTAACCATTACTTTAGTTTGGTTCAGGCCTCAGGCCTCATACTGGGCCTTCATTAGGGCCTTCACTTACTACAGTGTACTCAGCAACTGGTTCTTCACTTGTTATTATATGAAAGGGGAGTAAGAGATAAAGCTTTGACATACAATAGATACATGATTTTGTGGCAATTCTTTGTATAGGGACATATCACCAAAAATAGACCTACACCAACAGTTACTACAATAGTGGGTATGTGATAGGATGTACAAACTTCCCACTGGAGAAGAAGGGATTAAGGAGCTGCTGTGGGCCTAGGTGGTCCTGTCCCACCTCACCTGCACAAGCTGGAGGAAGAGTTTAAAAAGAGAATTAGAGTATCTCAGTGGCAGGCAGGCAGACAGAGGAGGTGAACTGACCTGTGCTCTGAACTCCTGGGAAGGAGCAGCACAGAAGCTTTTGCTGCCTAAGGCCTGGTGATACTGACCTGACCAAGCCAGCAAAGGAGGGACTGGTGACTTTTGGAGGTCAGAAACTTTATTTTTGTGTTCAGTTCTTTACTCTGTGGGAAGAAGGGGCATTGCTAGGAAGTGATCCAAGGAGGCTGCTACATAGCACCCCAACATGCAGGGCTTAGCTTCCTGTCACTGAGCCCTGGATCAGAGCCATGTGGAGGTGGTGAGCCCAGGCTCCCCTTCCAACCCTTAAAGAGGGACGACTCCAAGATCTTGACCCAAGGGGGAAGACCTGAAGCCCTTGCTGACTTCCACTTTGTTGGACTCTTTGTGAACCCCAAAAGGGGTGGACTTGAACATGTGACCCTGCCGGAGGGCTGAGTCACTGAAGGACAGACGATTGCTTGAGAAAGGGGAATGCCCGGGAGGAAGACAATCTGCCATACCTGTGCCTGACGAATAGGTGGCACTGGCAGTGAGTTCCCCTTCGCAGGGTGCTTAATATTCTTCCTAGTAGGATCTTAGTAACTGGTTCAGGTGTGAGAGCAGCACCCAGAGTTGTGTATTCAAGGCAGTTTTTCTATTTTTTGTTGTAGCCGTGTCGGTCCCAGGACATTAGAGAGGCAAGGGGGTGAAGTAATATCTTTTATTGGACCAACTTCTGTTGACCTGAAGAAGAGCTCTGTGTTAGCTCAAAAGCTTGTCTTTCCCCAAAAGAAGTTGGTCCAATAAAAGATATTACCTCAGCAATCTTGTCTTTCTATTTTCTGAAGTTATGTATTCAACATCATTGTGGGTCAGATCTTTCTTTCATTGAAGAGAAGGGTTTTTGGTTTTGGTTTTGTTTTAAATGGCATTTGATCAGGATCCGGACATTGTTATATTCTCCTTCTGATAACCTTTTAGCATATGCTGAGGTTGTGTTAATGCTGGATGTTTCCAAAATGTAGGGTCATTTTGTAGCTGACTAGGTGCACAGGCAGGGAAGCGGATAATTCATACACAGCTACACTTGCAGTTCCCTGTGCTAGGAGGGGTGTTGGGACTGTCCCCCTCCTCCTCCCGTGATTCCTGGGGTGCAACCCATCCCAACAGGGAAGGCAGTAGCCCTGCCTTCCTTCCACACTGGCCTGCAA